AAAAGGCTAATTTAATACCATGATCATCAAGGACTAAGGACGCAACAGAAAGCCTTGACCGATCTATCTAGGTTTTTAATTTTCTTTTGGCTCAATTGAGTCTATTTAAGAAGTAAGATAGAGCCGGATAGTGTTCTTGCTTTAATGTTAACGTGAGACTTTTACAAGAATGGCACCCAGCTCTGATGATGTCCATCATATGATGGATGAAAGCTCAGCACATTTTCACCCGAAACGAGGGAGGAAGTTTTGTGGACTGCGTCAACATAATATCGTATAAAAGCCAAATGGCTGCAGTACGAGATTCATCCGTCCTCATCTCATGAGATCGACAAATGAATCTCTTCTTCATGCACTTTCATACAACAATGTTATTTCAGGAGATTCATCGAAACCCAGTTTATCTTCGTATCTAGAAAATGCTGGTCAGATGGTCAGGGTGACCTAGAGGAATGCACTTTTTCGGAGTCCTTAGTAACCATGACAATTTTCAGCGTCGGACCGTGGACCTGGTGCATTTGCAGACGTTTCGCAGACATCACAGTCGGCATCGTAGTGATCCTTGCTAATCTAGCACCAAATTACAACTCGTCAAAATGACAAATAAAGTTGATCCTTTGATTAACTGTCCGCTGATCAGTTGTGATGCCTTCACTTCTGTCCCGGTACATTCATCTGTCCCATATCCTCGTATTACCCCTTTACTATCATAATATGATACTTGTTCATTTAAACACTGTTTACATGTGCACTCATGAGGGGATTTACTGATACCAATATACACTCCCTGCTGGCTCCCTCAACGCCGCCCCGAGCTGTGAATGTTTATCCGAGTCTGCCCTTTTGCCCCATAAGGGCCCTATCTGAATCTTCCTCTTGTCTCATAGAATCCGTCTTTTAACTCTCTGATGCAGCGATTTCACTCGATCACTCCCATCACATCTGTGCTACTCGAGGCGTTATGTGTTACACTCTGCCTTGAGCCTTTGATAACACAAACTCCACCTCAATCAGCAGGCCCCCAAATTAGGGATTCTTAAACTGGATATAAAACCAACTTGACTTGGCAAATTCCTTCATCACCGTTCGGCATATACATCGAGTAAATCTCGTGGTCAAATCTTTACTTCCCAGATCACGTCTATGATTAAACACGCCTACTGTCAGCCTCCGCTGCATGTCTCGTGCGGCTAATCATAATGCCAAGACTAAGAAGTTCTATGTCCTAGTCGCTTGTGTGCAAAACTCCAAATTGTGTTGTTCTAATTGTTTTGGTTAGGCTCACTGTAGTCATCTCCTCTTGCTTTCAGATTGTACCTCTGTGGCCTCCTCCTTGCCATTTATGTTCCTCAAGTTGAAGATATTTTCTTCATCTAGTCATCTTCTTTTGCTGATCTTGCTGCTACCTGATCTCATCGGAGTCTTCTTAAGCAATATTCAAAGTTTTCGCCAATTTTGTCTTCTTTCAGTCTCCTGTTCCTTACATTTCTTTGATTCAGGATACCGACGGCCTCTCGGATATTGCGTTTTCTTGTATGTTCTATCGATTTCGCATCCAGTCGGTGCTACGTGTTCCGCCATATAATATCTTCCAACAGAGTCTTTGATTTTCATTAATTT